TATTATGTTACAAATACAACAACAAAAAGCATTCATGTATAATGTATATTAATAATAAAATGGATAAAATGAGTAGTAGACAAAATTCTTTATACTAGGAATACTTACAACATATGTTGTCGATAAGTATGAGTATGATATGATTAAGGTAGGTACTAAATTAAATGCAAATAATTAAAATACTTATTTGGTATGGACCACATATTACAGAACTCCGACCTACAAGGTTACAACAGTATTCAACACTTAAAAATGACCTTTATAACGCCTAAATATCGGTTGTGTCCAAAATATAAATTTTGGAAATATTGAATCCGGAATCGCATACCTAATATGTGAGCATATCCCGAACGGCGAACAGTGGACACCTCCTACATACAATTAATAATGTACAAAAAGCTATTTATCGTAAACACTACGATGAGGTAAATTATTATGCAAAACGGAAGTACTCTATTAACATGTTAAACCGCATATTCTACTAGGAAATTTATAGTTTATACATCGGGACAAAATTACAACAGTCAAATATTAGACAAATTTCGATTAGCTAAGTACCCGGTTTAATCCTGTACGTACAGACATTTAGTCTACTGAAGACAGACGGTGTAAAATTGTATAGACGTGCAGCATAGTAAAAACGTTTGATTATAATATTATGATTTATGTTTTTGTGTTGTGTAATAATAATTATTATACCACGTGTATTGCGAGGATAGATATTCTAAAAATCTACAGGAAACTGAATGGAGTTGGTTTCTTCAAACTAAAGGAATGAGTAAAAAAAAATATTAAGAAAAGTGAAATATAATGATTAAGCGAATTTCGACCTTATTATTCAGGATATATATAAAGATTCTTTGTGCTTGTGAGTTGTGATTTATATTTGTCTATAAATCCGACAGCAGTGTAAGTTATATTGTACAACACACCGCAGCTGTCATGTATACGCAACGAAACCACAAATTGATTATCTTAAGCACGCGCATGATAAATTTAGTATATGCGACTGTTATAAGAGTATTAAGTATATACTTGTATACAGCACACACGTAAAACCAAATATCTCAGATACCGAGATATGAATACAGGGTGATTCACCAACCATGCTCGCCCCCATTTTTTCTTTAAATTTCATGTATTTAAATTCTGGTTTTTGGAGTTTTTAAACATACTCAAGGATAATTTATCAAATTCTTGAATTTTCTTGTTCAACTTAACACTTGTCCTGTGGCAATATAAACTTTTGTTTTTCAAAGTCAAACCCCTCTTTTTTACTGTAAATTATTGAGTGGATAATTTTTTTGAAAATGTTTTATGTATAGATATATAAATGTGTATATATACATTTATGTATGTATATTCACCTCCATCAAAATTCGAATGAGTGGTTTTTTAGTAATTAAAATGTTTGCACTAAAGATAATTTACAGTCCTTAAAAATGGTTTTACAAACATATAAGAGAGACGTACTTAATATTGGAACTAGTTTTCATTATACATGGGCCATTTTTACAAATTAAGAATGTTGATGGATTAATATTAATCATTTACATTTTCAAATCATCATAGCCGATAGCCCCCAGTCAAAAAGGAGGATTCTCTTTGAAAAAACAGAATTTTCTATGCCACAGGACACTCCTTAAGTAGAAAAAAAATCTCAAGAATTTGAAAAAATATATAGTCTTGAAGAATATTTAAAAATTCCAAAAATCAGTTTTTGAATAACTGCATCATTGAATAAGAAAAGGGCGTGCGCATACTTCGTGACTACTCTGTTTATTACTCTGTTCATGATTAGCGACCATTGTATTATTATGACTATATGTATGATTAATATGAATTAAATAATACATGAAATACTATGAATTTACACCAGATTCGTAAGAGAAACACAGTATTGGTGGTTTAACAATATTTTAATAAGTCGGTATAATATATTTTAGTATAATATACACCGCGCATATATAGAATAATTGACTATGGATATTAAATTAAAAACACATTTATTAGGTCAACAAAGGATTAGTAATCATAGTCAATAGTGACAACTAACAACAGACAACATACAGCACTACAACAGTATGTCAGTACACATATTATTACGAGTAATGAGCATACTGCGGATTTAATAATACATTGAAGGGGTGTTAGTATAAAATTATGTAATGACGTGTTGCAATTAGTAAATGTATTCAATCTACAGAAGAAATCAGATAAATTAACAAAAAACTCCTACGTGGTTATAGGTACTGCATCAGCTCAGTTTTTAATAATTACTGCGTTGAACGTGGGTAGGTAGAAGATAATATGATGTTTCTATTTTTTTTCTTTGAATTGAGCTATCTCACCAACTTTCATATGGAAAGTAAAGTAAATTTTAAGTATAAAGTAAATTGAATTTAAATTTGAACGATTTTCGCTTAATATGTATACTATTATTTATTAATTATAAATTCACAAAAATAATTTCGAAAATATAAACTAAAACAAAACAAAGAATGCTTTCTAATGCTATCCGTGTTTATCATAAATATTGGATCGAATAATAAAAGTAAATTAAAAGGTTTGTATATTATATTATGTTTATTATATTTTATATTTCTCCACGGCGGAAGTGACCACATGTATAGATTTATTCTGTGTATAGAGGTGTGGAAACCGCGGGAGAGAGATTTTCTAAAACCATGTAATGAAGTAACACCCACGCCCATTAAATGCAGTTTGGCATAGTTTCTATGTCCAATTGGTTTAATCGTTGGAAAACTATATAGGAGCGTACTGAGTATTATTTTTTTTTACGAGTTCATTGAAGGAAGCAATAAAAAAAAAAATATATAAAATGCTATTCCTAGTGTTGGCGCTTTTCCACGGACTGCTGAGTCAGCAGTGGTTAAATTTGGATTCGAAAAAGTGGAAGACTGCAGTAAGATGGCAAAAAAACGGCACAGAAAGGCCGAATATTTATCATTCGTCTTTATTATTATAACAGTGTGGGATAAGAACGGACGCCTTCGTACCTATTTAGTTTTTTAAGATGCGTGGCGCCCATTTCGAAAGTGCAGCACATCAACTATACTTTAAAGACCGGGCCAAGGCGTTAAGATTTTATCGAAATTGGCTCTGTATTATTTTCTAAATTAGTATTATATATTTGTAAGTCAATATAGTATATAAATATTATATTATTTTTATAACTTGAAACTAAATTTGATTTTGATGGTGATTGTTTATTTGTGCTAGTGAGTGTGTATTTATTAGAAATGTACCCACGCATCATTTCGATAAAGTATGGTAGTTGTAAATAACATCACTGCGTCATTTAGTTAATAATTTTCATACGTTTTCCGAAGTTATTATCCATTTATCCATATTGTATAAATATTATGATTTATGTATGTTGAATAATAAGAATTGCTAATTTCGTGCATATCATTTATTATGTATTATAATGGATGCATTTTCGATTATAGTATAAAGATTAAGATAAAGTTCGATTGAGTTCATTGAATTATTATTTCACTATCTGCTGTAGTAGGTCGCTAATATGTCTTAACCTTTTTTCAATTTATTTCAATATTTTGATGTTATACATAATAATATATTGGTTGTATATTCTTATGTCAAAGTAATCGTATTCATTTTTGTGTAATATTCCAACTATCAAAAACAAAAATAATTTCAAAACTGAACAAATCGAATAACTCAGTATCCCTGTATACCTGTCAATAATGTTTCTAATTGTAATATTAAATATTTATGAGAAAAAGTGACTTAAGAAGCAACCCAATTTTAAAATGTTTCACTCTCTATCTCTCTCTCTCTCTCTCTCTCTCATCTTTTTCAACTTTAATCCTGTGTTAGTGGTGTCACAAAAATACCTGTTTAAATGATCGAGCTCTTTTTATTTTTACATGGGTATAATTAATATTACGAAGTTAAATCTACAACCTTGAGCTACTATGTATTATATATGCAGCTATTATTGCATATTTTCTAATAATGAGGTAAGTATCTATTTATTTATTATTTTTAATCGTAATATATATTTTACGTAGGGGTTTTCAATCGGTATACAAACATTACAAACTCTACGTAAAATATATGGCACCGATTTAAAATTCCATTTTGGGAAGAGGCGATAGATGGTTACGCCTGTACGTTTTACAGTATAGCTGGTTTACTTAAAAGATTATAGAAAGTCAAATATCATAATAGTTATTCATAAATCATAACTATTTGCACTCATCACTCCTATCATAATATTATGATAAATCTCGCAAGTTGGGAAGCTCGTGAAGGACAAGCATTTTAGTAAATATCAAAATATGTTTGCCATAAACTCATATACAAGTACCTATACTACAGACTCTGGGATGTACCTATTGTTTTATTACCTTATTAGTATTCAATTTTTGAGTCAGCTATATTAATTAGTGCACGAAATTTCAAGCAATGTCTAGTTACATCTTACATGGACTGGTGGCTATATAATAAGTCATAGCCGATATAGGTACAGACAATAATTCCAAACCATTTCAACAATAAAAAATGACTTTACAGGAAAAACGATAATCTCGCCTCGTAGAATAATCTAATTGAACAGGTTAATTATTAATTATTATCAATTGAAAGAGAAAAACTTTATTCAGGAAACATAAATAGACATAAATAGCATAAATGGACTCCAAATTTTAAATAACCTTTCAAAAACGCCAGAAAAATAATTGACAAAATAATAAAAATTTGAGCTACAATATAAAGATGCGTTTATTAAAACTTCTTAAAATAGAGTTTTTAAGACCTGGGTCCAATCTGTCTTTCACAAAGTCTTTATCATTAGAATAAATAAAAATAATAGTTTAAATCTATGATGATTATTATTCATTTTTTATTTCACGAGGAGTAAGATGAGTTTTTTTCGTTTTCTCAGTAAACTATAAAAACGCATCGGCTCTGACACCATAAATAATTAATGGTTGTAAGAAAAATAAAAATACCTTGTCTGATGCGGTGTCATGTACGATATGAGAGCAGCAGCAGTGACGCTGGCACACTGTCTTCGGAGCGGCGGGTGTTTTATTTTTTTCGGAAACTCACTGCTCCCGGACACCTGCAGTATATTGTCACGCGCGATGTGAGTTTTTGGAGAATTGTTGTTGTTGTAAATCGAATGCGATACACGCGCGTATTGTATTGTTGCACCGAGAGAATGCGGTCGCGACGGCGTCGAGCGGAAAACTGTTGCGACTTGCGGCCGACACGCGTTGCAGCGGGAGGAGCGGTCTCGTGCGTGCGACGGGCGCCAACGGTGGGACAGCTTTTTACAGACCGAGTGCGCGCGTGCGGTACAGATGGTGGTGGCTGTCTCGTACCGGCGATGGTGCGGCCGTCGAGAGCTTCGCGGATTCGGTTCCTGTGCGTAGGCGATACGAGTGCGTGACGTGGGCGTGGAATCTTGGTTCAACTCCTTTGCCTGATGGTTCCGGCGGCGACGGGAGAAACGTCGCGAAATCTGTCACTAGTTTGCTACCACCGCCACCGAAAAGAGCGGGGGTATTATTAATTATTATAGTTATTACTTACATGTAGATATTTGCAATTTGTATTTTGTTGGCATGTGTGGGCGCTCACATTCTCACAAGATGTAAACAACCACCGCCCGTTGTTCTTCAAATATAATATTATAATTATAGTACTGTCGATTTCCCGAATACATTAATATAACGCCACTAACGGGGTTCATAAAGGTTGTTTACATGCACCGTGTCAGTGCATATAGTGCATACGGCGTTGGTACACATTTAAAATGGTGTGATTGTAGGCTGGCAAGTTCCTCAATTGCCCCCCTGACATTTTTGAAGGAGTGAAGGACTCAGTGGCGGATCTAACACCCGGGCAACCTGGACATGTCCAACCGGGCCCCAGCCGTGTGGGCCCCCATGTCGAAAATAATAGGGTTAACGTTATATAAATAAATGGGTATTAAAATTAAATATAGTTGTGCTATACTCTGTTCGGCGAGAGAACACGCCGGTTTCGCGACGACGATAGGCGACCGACGCCGATGCTAGTTTCGATGCCGGTGCCGATCACAAGGCCGTAGGCGAGGGGGGTCAGAGGTCAGGGTTCAACCCCCCCCCAAAATTTTTTTTTGAAATAAGATTTAATTATTTTTTAAATAAAGATTAGTTGAATTTATATAATATTTTTATCTTTTCATATTTTATTATATAATATAACATATTTATACTCAAGCCCCCCCCCCCTAAATATTTTTCTGGCTACGGCCATGGCCGGTAACGTCCCTGTCGCCTGGCGACGACACTCGATTACTCGCCGAACAGAGTATACGATAAAATTAATTATATTATTAAAAGTTACTATATAATACGGAGTATCATGATTCATGATATTATAGCAGTGAGCTGAAAATACCAAAACTGGTAATTCTCATCGTCGTCGGACGTCGACGACTATCGAGTATTGACCCATGTAATTGCTTTTATTTTTGCCATTTAGGCAACTATCATAGGCAACCTATATTTCTTTTATATCATAGAAGTCTGAAGAACACGTCGGGGATTGGTGGTAGACAGTTTTTAAGGAGTTCGAAATAGGCAATTCGCAAATTGCTTTCATGCGGGTCTTGTAAATGTGTGAGTAGTAAGTAGTAAGTACTAAGTGATGATTAGTGTAATAGTGTGTTACGCACATGTATAAGTCATCTACTCGGTGTTGCGCTAGTGAACGATTAACAATTATACTCGTTTGTAATTTGTATGCACTTTTTGTCCATCCTACCGATCGACCTAATAAAGCTTTTAATAAACCAAATATTAAATGTTTTCTAAAAGCTAAACGTATGGAATGAGCCGGTCATGTGCGGCGAGCTGAGGGAAGCATAATTCAAAAAATACTGATTAATAACCTTACCAACAAGCGTCCCAGGGGAAGACCTCGTCAACGTTGGCAGGATAGATTAAATGCTGATATAAGAATGGTGGACGAAGCAGCAAGTTTCGAGACTGCCATTGATCATGACAAGTGAAGAGGTTTAGTAGAAGCTGCAAAAGGCCTTAATGGCCCAGAAAGCAAAAAAAAAAATTAAATATAGAATATTATCAATTTATAAGTATTATTATTAGGTTTATATTATTATTTTAACTGATGATATAATATATTCTATTCTCTATTGTAGATATTATATCTTCTGTACATTATGCTGAATATTTAGTTCTTTTGTTATTATATTTCATATAGGTACCTATATACACCATCCATATAATATTTTTACATAATAATTGGTACATGATTCCAAAAGATTAGTTTATTTTAATAATCTATACAATAAAACATAAAATATATTATGTTGACATGCGGATTATTGACATTTGAACATACAATTTAAATGTAAATCTACATTACGACCCGTATAAAAGTCGGCCTTCGGGCGAAGGTTGGCGTACTCTGGTGTTAAATTCTGAACTACCAAACTGCCGCGATTCTTTGAGTCAATATTGTACCATTGAAAGATACGGTAGCGGTGGGAGATCAGCAGTTTTCCGAAAAATGATAAGGAGCTGACGACTGATAACAGTTCGAAAATCAAAAAGCGTTGCCAACCATTACATACAAAAGTCGGTATACATTTAAAATAGACATATAGTAATATTTATATTAAGTTAAATGTTATTAAGAACATTTTCTGTACTTTTCCGGATTACACTTGTTGAATAATTTTAATTTTAATAATTTTAATTTTGAACCATGTCTCTAGAACAAGCCATTTCTGTGGAATGTGGTATGTATTTAACAACTTTTTTTGATTGCTGAAATCCAAAAAAAAATTTTGTTATTTTTCTTTATAAAATAATTTATTCAAGTAGAGTAAAGTAGGTATATACACTGCACAATAGATATTACGATTAAAGTTCATTAAAATTGTTTTTTATAATTTAGGAAATTAGAAAAACG